TTTTTTTATGGCACTAGATGTTAGATTTGAAATGAATCACTATTTATTATTGATGTTTGTCAGTTTCTCCTTCCTTTTTGGGCATGCATGAAGACTGAAATATGGTGCTGATTCCCTGTGATTTTTGGAATGTCATAGTCACAATCGTCTTTTTAGAATTTTGGTGCAAAAGGTACCAATATCCATGTGCAGCTGTAACTATGTATGTCTGTTAGCATTCAATGGGCTATTATTATCACCACTAAGGGTTTCAGCTGGACCCAGATGCTTTATATACTACACGTTTTTCCTTGAAATGTCCTTGTCTCTCACCTGAATTGCTAAACTGATAAGAAGGTCAGTTTCTTTGTCATTTTATTCCCATAACTGAAAATATATCTATTTATAAACTTTGTGCCTTTCTAACTCTCAGTGCACAGAAAGGAGCAGGGTCTGTTTTTAGTGCAGTCACATCATCTAGAAGTGTCGGCTACACTTCTATGATGAGACAGATCTTTTTTTTAAAAAAAAAATCTGTTTCATTGGCATCACTGGATGTTTTCTGGACTGTGTTGTTTTCTCTTGTTCTTTAGTTTTTTCCAGTGGAGGATGGTTAAATTTGTTCTTGATTTCCTTCAGTGCAAAACAGCATCTTCTTTCAGTGGCCACTGAGAGCACNAAAACATTTCGGGGGGGGGGGCGGTTAAATGCAACCTATTTCAGCTCCATAAACTTTGAAGGAGATACTATCAAAAATAGACCCTCCCCCCCTCAGTGGAAATAAAGGAGTAAGGGAAAATTGAGAAAATGTCTCAGTCTATTATTTTAGAGTCTAACACATTCCCTCTAAACCTTACATTATTGAGACAATTGAGGGTGAATGACTGTCTTATCATTCTTATTTGACATTGTACAGAGATGCAAGAGAAATGGAAATGAACGGTTTCAACATAGATCATTTAATAAGGCAGAGCATGGAGTGACCAAGCACTCTTCTAAAGTGTTAGATGAAAAATGCTGTGGCTGCCACTGTAATCAGAAATAATAGCTTGAGAGGCATGTGTTCTAGGAAAGCAGAATTAGTTTCCTTTTCGTGCTGTGTTATTGCTTAGGAAACTCTGTTGTTTTCTGGTAAAACTTCACTTTTACTGCCATCCACTCCCCTCTCGCAGAAGTTTAGTGCAATGAAGCTGACATTCTTTGATTAATCTGAAACCTGCGCAGAAGCTATTTTAGTCATTAATGTGTAACAAAAATAGCTTATAGAATATGGGTTGTCATATTGCTCTTGCCCATCATTTGAAAATAGGATCCAGCACAGGCTGTAATTTCTTGCTACTTGTTTAGTGGGTTTCTTCTGGAGATTCCAAAATACCTATTAATTCTTAATACTGCCTCTCTTAGGAAGACATAAAAAAAATTGATATTTTTAGGGATAGGAGAATTACAGGATGACTTAAGAGGCTCATAGAAACATTTCAGTTTAACCAAAAATTTTTTTTTATGGCACTAGATGTTAGATTTGAAATGAGTCACTATTTATTATTGATGTTTGTCAGTTTCTCCTTCCTTTTTGGGCATGCATGAAGACTG